GCTGGTATAGCCGCCGTTGCCCGCCTTCATGGGGCGCACCACCAGCCACCTCGGAGGTACTCCGAGTGTTCGGCTGGACTGAATTCCGGCTTGTTCAGCTTATTTTTCTAGCCGGAGCAGTGTTTTTCTCTCACAACATTCCAGTATAAACAGTATTTTCCGACGTAAACAGTAAAAAAATTCAGTCCAGCTGAACACTCCCAGCCTTCGCCTGCCTGCAGCCTGCAGGGTCTCGACGGTGCCGAACAAACCTAAGCTGTGGCCGGCTTGAGGGGATCGGCACCACCGCTTCATACTAGGATAATAGAGATCTATCCAGTCCAGCAAAGGGGGTGTAGTTCATATGGTAGAGCGCTCGCTTCGTATGCTAGAGGCACGGGGTTCTCAATCGGACAAGCACTATAAAAAATCTCTTGTCCGATTGCAGGCCAGCAGCCCAGGCAGCTGCTGCACCAGCTGCGCTGCCCTTCTTCTCCACAAGGGCCACGCCTGCTGTAGCTGCGACGGTGCCTCTTAATAGATTTCTTCTATTTTTTAACTATCCGATTTAGGCAGATGGATGGCTCTCATTATTTTTGAGCGCCGTAAAAATTCTCTCTTTTCTCTCTTTGCCCAGGCAACAGGCGTGTACGCGTACCGTGAGTCCGTGACTCATTCATCATGCAGATCCAGCAGTACATCGCACACAATCGGTTCACGTCGCTGTCCCGCGCACTGAGTGCCTTTGGTTTTGTTTTGTCCCGGGTACCAAGCAAACATACGCCGTTGGTTCGGCAGGATATACAACTTTTGGCGGGAGTTTTACACATCGGCAGAGCACATCCGGGTGCAGAAACTTGTTGATCCAGGGAGCCAGCAGCCAGGGGACACGGGCGTCGACCGTCCAGTGGGATGTTTCGCTTGGTAAAAAACGGGTCACGGCGATAAGCATGCAAATGTGAGATGTGCGCGCGGCTTCCGCTGCTCCGCATACCACCGAGAGTTCAGTCAGATCGACTCCGTACGAAAGCAACTTTTGCGATTTCGGTTACTCGTTGGCAGATGAGTACATATATGCATTTCTTTTCAAAAACAAATAACTAATTTGTGCGACGATAGTAGTCTTTCCCAGCTCCGCTAAAGGCTTCGACGAGGCTAGAAATTCGAGGTGGAGCAAAGAGGCATCATGCTTAGAGGAAGGGCTACTAGCTGGTATGGGTGGCGAGGCAAAGAACATGGCGGCGTCCCTGGTCGGTGCCGGTGGTGGCGCTGGTGAAAATCCACGCATAGGCCCACTATCTAAGTGCTTAAACATTCATAAAAGGCTCAGGTACAGATAATCCATATATCCCCTTCGTTTTTGGCTAATAAGTCATGGCTAAAAGTATTATTGGCTGATTTTTTGTGAGAGAAAAATATTGTTCGATGGCTGAAAAAGTACGGCTTATAAGCCAAACGAACAGGGCGATAAACAACAGGTAATAACAGCCGCTGGCGCACATTCCGACCTCCAAGCGGGACGAGGTGCTCCTCATGCAGAGGATGGGCTTTGCACCGCCGGCAGCTCTAATCTCATCCGCGTACAAGCGAGCATACGACGACTTATTCGTAAGGAACTTGACGTCGAGCGAAGTCGAAGCACTAGACGTGCTGTTCCCGGCGATCGATGCTAGGACCGATAGAAGACTCTTCTCGGATGACGGAGTAGGGTCGTGCGGCCAGTAGTGGAGACGCCCAGCTCTATAGGTTACTGCGCTGCTCTTAGTTCGGTTGTGTATTTTTATGTAATATCGAAGTTCGAAACAGTCTGCCAGGAAGGTCAAGTCACAAGTAAGACCTCTCAAGGCGCTCATTAGAAACGTGTCTGTATGTATGGTTAAACTTTTCTTCTTAATTATAATGATACACAAATCTTTTACTATTCGAGAAAAAAAACAACAGTAATAAAACTAAGATATAATATAAAATAAATACCTAATCATAGACGATTATTAGGTTCATCTCTGCCTATCATATCATCTACATTAGCAATAGCAGGTGAAACTGAACCTATAAATAAAAGTTTGAACATTTAAAATTAATATGAGATGCGATATAAAATACAATTTATTAGTGAAAAAAATTGATAATAGGAAACACACTGTAATGAAAAATAAAACGGAATTCAATGTGGGATGGAACACTGACATGTTTTCCTACTTGCTTGGCTACCGCCTCCAGTACCGCACATCGGCAGTTCGGCACCAGCGATTTTTGGATGCGAGGCCGCCAAGCCGACATCCCCTGACAAACCACGAGCAACTCTATATGCTTGAATTAGGGGTATTTGACCAGGGGAGGTATCACATCGGGTGTTTAGTAATAATAATAAAATTAATTATAGAAGTCATGACTAATTTATGAGACGAATATATTAAACCTAATTAATTCATTATTAGCGTATGTTTACTGTAGCATCGCATTGTCAAATTATGGATTAATTAAGTTTAATAGATCATCTCGTAAATTAGTTTCAATTTGTGAAATTAGTTTTATAATTAATCTATATTTAATACTTTAAATTATATCCAACATCTGATATGACATAAACTAAATTTAAGAAGGTCAGAACAAACACCCCTTAGCCTGTGACTTTATCACCCGAACCCGTGACCAATGGACCTTTGCTGTTATGCTGGCCATGCCCCGGACCAATTTATAGGAAATCTAACTAGACAATAGAAAGTAATGGGGGTATAACGTAAGAGCATCTTAACCCGCTTTTCAATACAACTTCCCTAATAAGATGATAATGATGATAACCTAATATCATTTTTTTGATAATTAGAGAAGATGCTTCAGCAAATGACCAATAGCTTCCCACAATACATGAGACCTACTTGTCACATTATTGTTTTTGTCCTCTCTCTTTCTCTATAAATCCCTCTCCCCTTTTCCCCTTTGAAACCAAATAAAACATACAGACAAACAAAAAAAGAGCCAAAAATGATCAGAAAATTGTTCAAGTAATCCAAATGACCATTCACAATAATGAAAAATCAATTGACACCAATTGAACACATAACTTATACAAACAGGAATAGTAAAATATGCTACAGTGAGATGTAATATGAAACTTTCGGAGGAAACACTGGAAGAAGAATCAATAGACCTGGCCAAACCATAGGAACAACCTAGCCAAACCCTAGGTACTGCGTCTTGACGTTTCACTGTCAGCAGCGAGGAGACGAACTGTAATGAAGCCGCTGCAGCAACGAACAGGCGTGAAAAACGGGCAACAAGCGTAAAAACACTAAATCAATGCACTAGATTGGGGGATCCGTTTGTCATAGAAATGGTAAAGAAAGATGGGCTAGAAACATATCCTACGGTAGAAGCTCATGGCCAAATCAGATCGAGCGGCCACAAAATCGAGCACAGGCAGATTTTGAAACACTCAAGTGCCATGTAGCTTTTTTTGTAAATGTCATAAAGACTCTCGGAGATGCTATTAGAGAAAAAATGATGTTCGTGTCCATAGGCAGTAGACAACATAACAAGCCATTATATGTGAATTCGACCATTAAAAAGGAAATTAATCAATCACAATCTCAAAAAAAAAACATAAGCGGCGTATGGACATGAAATACTTTTATTCACATGGCGATGCATATATAAAGGTAAAATGTTGATTTTTAGTAGATATACTAGAAAATCAGCATTAAGCCTTGAAGGGTAGAGAGAGAGAGTGGCGAAAGCGACAATGCAAGGCCACGTTTAGTTGGTCCCCAATTCGGCGCCGCCTGATTTCAGTGAGGTACTGTAGCTACAGTAGCTTTTTATTTTTATTTGGTAATAATTATCCAAACATTGACTAATTAGGCTCAAAACGTTCGTCTCGTAAAGTACAACAAAACTGTGCAATTAGTTTTTGATTTCGTCAACATTTAGTACTCCATGCATGTACCGTAAATTTGATGTGACGGAAAATCTTCTTTTTATATAGTGTCAAAGTTTGAATTTTGGATGAACTAAACAGGCCAAGTACAAAATCCACACCATATTTTGCTCACATACCGACATGACCTTATATCCACTTCCAGCGTGGGAGAAGAGAAGCACCCATAATAAAAAGGGAAGAAGGAGCTGAAAAGGAGAAGGGGACGAACGAACGAGCGAACCCCACAGGGACACGGAATGCGCACCCGAGCACCGCACACCCCGAGCGCCGGCGAGGGCCCACCCGTGTTACACACCACGCCGTGCTGCACAGCCGCTGCTATAAGGCAGATGGGATCACGATCACACGATCCAGCACGCGCAGCTTCTCCCCCGCTCGTTCTCGCCCCGTCCCGTCCCGTCTCCAAACGGACGGACTCTGAAATCCACGAGCACCTCCCCCTCGTCCTCACGCCCCCCGGCCCTCCCTGCTCTCCGCCTCCCCGCCCCCATCGCCACCCACCAGCACCTCCGGCGCGGCTCCTCCCCGCGTGCCCGCGGCCCGCACCCGGCGTCCCTCGCGGCGGCGACGCGCGAACGTCCCGTTCCCTTCCCCGGTGGTGAGCGCCCCCTCTCTGATCTAATTTTGTCCACACGACTGTGCATCTTTCGTTCCGTTGGATTTCGTCTCGTCGCTGGAGAAACCGGATCTTCTCCGTCCGGGGCAGCGGAGGACCGGTTCTCCCTCCCGTTCGGGCTGCCGCAGAGGTCTCCGAGCAGCGGAAATGGCGTCGTGTGGTCAAACTTTTTGGTCCCAATCAACGGAAGAAAAATTTTTCCCGTTCATTTCCTGTTGGGTTGTTGATGTTTCGGATGTCCGTCCCCTGTTCCATTAATTTCATTCCACTAATGCTCGAGACCTCATAATGGATGGCGGATTGAGAGAAATGACTTTACGTTTAAAAAAAATCGATTCCTTCTACTCTAACCATTCTTCTTGCACAGGGACGGTAGCCAGTGCAAAAGTTGCGCCTCTGTTTCTGAAATGCTTTCGTTTCCTGTGCTCTCCCTGATCACCAACAGAGTAACGGAGAGGCCGAGCCATGAGCGGAGGGGTGGAGCCGGAGACCCCGCCGGGTAGCAGCAGCAGGAGCGGGGGCAGCACGCCCGTGGGCGGCAAGCCGCCACGGCACCACCTCACGTCCATCCGCCACTGCGCCAGCAGCGCCCGCATCGCCGCTGCCTCCGCCGAATTCGTAAGCCAAGCTCGCTGCCACCCCCAGCCATTTGTCCCTAACACAAATTTGACGTGTGTCCTTTTGTTCTCCTGCTGCAGGGGCTGGATTCGGGGACGCTCAGCTTGATCTCACCTTCCGCAGACATCCGTCCGGGCTTCTTGCCTGTGTTCAGGTCGGGGAGTTTCGCGGATATTGGACCCAAATCGTACATGGAGGACGAACATGTCTGTGTGGACAACCTCGTCGAGCACCTTGGACTCCGCGGCCCGGGCATCCCTGCACCGGGTGCCTTCTATGGGGTGAGTTGGAATTGCATTTGCATCAGAGCTAAGTGCGGACTAACTGCTTTTGTTAAATAGTATTTAACAATGTGTACTCTTTATGGATCTATGATTTGTTCTTTGTTGAGTGGCAATAATGCTGCTATGATAGCTTCTAGGCTTACTAGTTTATTCTGCCTGGAGATGCATGATGGTAGAAATGATTGAACTGAAGAGGAATCGGTTCCACATGGGCAATGATAAATGCCTTGGATAATTTTTTTTGAAAAAACCCAGATGATAAATGCTTTTCTTTCTATTTTGGACCTTTTGGTACTGCACACTGCAAATGGGAATTTTGCTAGTGAGAAATAAGTGTCTTGCTCTTTAGCCACCTGGCCTTGGAGATTCTTACTGTTTTGTTTGTGAATATTTAGGTGTTTGATGGCCATGGTGGTACTGATGCTGCCTGTTTTGTCCGGAAGAATATACTGAAGTTCATAACCGAAGATTGCCACTTCCCCAACAGCATCGAGAAGGCAATCAGAAGTGCTTTTGTAAAGGCTGACCATGCAATTGCGGATTCCCAGTCTCTTGATCGGAATTCTGGGACCACAGCATTGACAGTCCTTATATCTGGCAGGTAAATTCCCATGTTTAGTACATCAATATGTATGCTTTAGAAATTTATTGACACTTCAACATATTGGTCAATACAGTCATGTTGCTATATAAGTATAGTCCTAATATTTGCTGATAACATAATAAATTAAGTAGTAGCTCAAAAGATTTGGTGTGGCGTAGATGAGTAAAACATTTGAACTTGTACTTTTTTTGTTACATGAAATTACTAAGTTGATGGCACGTTTCATTTCCGATTATTAGTTAAAGCCCTGTTATGGATTTATGAATCAGTAGAGGCACTTCGTTTCATTTTACCTTTATTATGAGTTTCATTTCCAAGAGAAACCATTAGTTCAAGCCCTGTTCATGGTACCTTTATCTAACAGTCTTCACATTTACTGCCTCAACCTCCCATATCATCTGTACATTAAAGGTTCTTTGCTGGACCAAGCTGTTCTTCTTGGGGCCTTATTACCTTTATGGGTTGATAAATTTCAACATTACAGCCTGTATGCTGTTCACAGTCTTTTTTGATTAATTATGTACTATGGCATCTCAAAGTATGCACTCACCAACCTCATTAAAATGGCGCAGGACACTGCTTGTTGCGAATGCCGGTGACTGTCGAGCCGTATTAGGAAAGCGAGGCCGAGCTGTTGAACTCTCTAGAGACCACAAACCCAGCTGCACAGTTGAAAGGCTCAGAATCGAAAACCTTGGCGGTACCGTCTTTGATGGCTACCTCAACGGTCTGCTGGCTGTAGCAAGGGCAATCGGTGATTGGCACATGAAAGGCTCCAAAGGCTCTGCATGCCCTCTTACACCAGAACCTGAGTTTAGGGAGGTTAGGCTTACTGAGGAAGATGAGTTCTTGATAATAGGCTGTGATGGCCTTTGGGATGTAATGAGCAGCCAGTTTGCTGTTTCAATGGTCAGGAAAGAGCTGATGGAACACAATGATCCACAACGGTGCTCGCGAGAGCTTGTCCAGGAAGCGCTTAGGCGTGACTGTTGTGATAACCTAACCGTAGTTGTCGTGTGCTTCTCAGCCGACCCACCCCCTCAAATCGAGGTCCCACGATTCCGAGTACGAAGAAGCATCTCAATGGAAGGACTGCATACGCTGAAGGGAGCTCTTGACAGTAATGTCTGAACTCTCAAAGTGTACCTTCGCCTGCAACTTCTGTCCTGAAGAATTTTCTCTTCTTTGTTGATGGTCTGTTAAAGTTTTGCTCCACTCATTGGTGTTTTGAGATATAGATCTCAGAATAAGTTTTGTAGAATTATTTTGGAAGAAATTTTGTTGAGGTGTAGGCTAATTAATCTTTTTTTTTGGCAATGATTTATATGTACTGGCCACCATTTGATTGTTGGTTGCTCACAATGTAATCGAGCAATTAACCGACATTGTTCTGGTACAAATGAGAGTTATAGCAGTTGATCATTTTTGATCTGGTTCAGATTTCCACTTGTATGATTGGATGAGCTCCCTGTTTATTATCAGAACCAAAAAGAGAATAAAGTTAATATGGTATGGATCCTGCGTATGGCGTCCATCCTTGTGCATATGGGAAAACTTGATCAAAACATTCCTTGATTCCCTGTTATTTATTGGGAATTGATTAATCTGCAGTAGATGCGGACTTCTTTTGATTTAACAATGTTCTGAAACCTTTTCATTTGTAAGAGCATCTCCAATAGTTCAAAAAAAAAAAGTAAATCAATGAGTTTTCCCATTAGCTAAAAAAAGTTGGAAGTGCATTTGTTGTGTTCTTCTAACTGTTTCTAAAACCTCGGTTTTAAAATATAAAAGATAATTTTGTATCAGAAATTCTAAACTATTTCTAATCACCTAGCCACTTTTATATTTTCTTTATCTCTTGTACATTAACATTAGAAACCCTGATCTTTATTCTTTCCCACGTCCTTCGACCTTCAGATGAGCCGATGATACGCGAGGAAAGGTTAGGAGTTTAGATAGAGAGTTGTTGGAGAACAGTTTTTTTAATCATGCCAAAAAATCTGTTTTGTAAACTCTTGGAGCGCTCTAAGTTTCTGCTGCTGTAAGAAAAAAAGAACGAAAGAAAGAAAAAGGAGACTCACATAACACAGAGTACAGAAGCCGCAGCAGCGTCGAGTAGAGCTGATCAGCGACGTTCCTATAGCTTGTGAATGGTAGGGTGCATGTGCATGCATACGGGTCTGGCACCTCTGGATGCACAATCTCCTCTAAATGCACTTATCCAAAAAAAAAAAATCTCCTCTAAATGCCGGCGAGGCCGGCCGTCATTCGACATCTCTCGTGAGTCTGGCCGCGGTCCCGGCCGCCGCCGGCGCATCATGTGATGTGGTTCCCGCCGATTCCAGCCGTCTGCCACTCGCTCGCGCAAACGCCCCTATGGTCAGGATTCCACTTTGTCTGACTGGCCTGGCCTCTCGTCCTTCCAAGGTCGCCCTCGTGGTTCTCCGGCAGTGATGACTGAGGAGACTCGATCACGCGGCAAACGGCGGCGCACGGGCACAAGACAGCGAGCAGACCGCCGTTGGATTTGGCAGTGGAATTCTCCTCTCCCGGCCTGTGAGTCCAGCCGCGTTCCACGGCTCATGCGCCCGGCTCCCCATCACGTGGTTCGCGTCAATTCCAGTTCCAGCCGTCCGCCACGCGCGCACACGTCGTCCATGACTCGTCGACCGCGACCCAAGCCGTGCTCTCGGCGCTCGGGGTTTGCCGCTTTGGTCCTCGGTAGGTTTTGGCCCTCGACCACCAGATAGTCTGTAAAACTCTTCTAGACTGCGGGCGCACACACACACACACAAAGCGTGTGGTCGTGTGGAGACCAGACGGGCCGAGTGAGTCGTCGAGTGTGTCCGGCTGAGGATGAAAATAGAACGTAAATATCCTCAACCGAACCGTATCGTTTTCTATATTTAATTTGATCGAATCCATATTTTTTTGTCCAATTTTATCGTTTTCGCTTTCGTATTTGAGATGTTTCGTATTTCAAATATAAAAGTAGAAAACGGTTTACACATTTTTCGACCGTTTTCTACTTTTCTACTTTTAATTTAAAATATTCCGAATTCAAAATTCGGTTTAAACCGAATTTGGCCAACTGCACAGGTCATACAGCCCAATTACAGGCTGCTCATCACGCAGCTGCGTTCTTTCTACTGGTGGCTAGCTGCACTCTCTTATAGACGGCGTCCAGCCTCATCTCTGTTATTATGTATTTGGTCGTGCACTTGTTTAATGCTATACACTTGAACTAGATCATTCACTTGTTAGTTGTGAACTTATTATGTATTTGGTCGTGCACTTGTTTAATGCTATGCACTATGGGTCGGTATTTCATATTGAATTTTAGCATACCGACCGTGTTCGACATAATTCCGCTCGAATTGGTTCGTTTCCGAAATTCTAGATATTCCGTAAGTTCGTTTTCGTGTCCGGCTTGTCCGCTTTCGCTTTCGCTTTCATATTTCAAATGTAAAAGTAGAAAACGATTGAGGAGTTTTTCGACCGAGTTCGACCGTTTTCATCCTTATGTCCGGCATAAGCACAGTACCAGTTCCGCTGTTCGGCAGCAGCCGCATAGCCCACAGGAACCAACTCCATACTATTTTTTCATATAAAATAAAGAAACTACTCCAAACTGATCTTCAGTACATCACTACAGTGTACAGGCATGTAAGAGTATCTTCAAAAGCCTTTCTAAATCTCACTCTATAAATTATCATTTAGAGAGTCATTTGTATAAAAATCACTTTCTATATCTTTTCACTCTCTAGCTTTGCCCTTAAAACTTGGAGTTCCAAACTCTCCGATCTTAAGTCCTGCATAGAGAATGTCAGCTTAGCTTTGCAGCTCATTGAAACTATGGAAGAGTACAGAGATTTAAGTGTAGAAGAATGGAATCCTTCTTAAGAGATAAGCTCCTCACTCTTGAACAAAACAAAGAGGTGACATAAATTGTGCAACACTAGGAGATGCATGGACTAATTTTTTATGCAAATGTGTCGGGAACCAATACTAGGGTACCCAAAGAGGAGGGACTAATGGTCGTTATACGTTAATCCATCCAGGCAGTCAAAGGTGCGACTATAGCTCCAATCGACACCGAGGCCGTGGGCTCCGCCTCACCCGACCTCTAAGGGCAGGCTCCGCCTCGCCCAACCCCAAGGTTGTGCGATTTGCCTCGCCCGACCTCTGGGGACGGGCTCCGCCTCGCCCGACACCGAGGCCGCGGGCTCTCGCCTCACCCGACCCCAAGGTCGTGCGGTCCGCCTCGCCCGACCTCTGGGTATGGGCTCCGTCTCACCTGACACAGAGGCCGCGGGCTCCGCCTCGCCCGACCCCCGAGGGCGGGCTCTGCCTCGTCCGACGTCTGAGGGAGGGCTCCGCCTCGCCCGACGTCTGAGGGCTAGCTCTGCCTCGCCCAATCCCTCGGGCATGGCTCCTAACTGAAGCTCACGCCGCCACCAACCACTATGGGCCAGAAAGTACATCCCAATGTCAAACTTCTGGTATCGTGCAGGGAGCGGTCACGTCTCAATATGACCCGTCCCCGCGACATGTCATTCTAGGGAACTCACATCTCCCACAGTGACGGACGCGTGGTCACTATGCTGCCTACTCCCTGTACAGCCGCTGATGAACACGCTGGTTCATCGCGCCGCCCGTCGGGGCGAAGTGGGTCATCACGACCCGCTAACAGCACCAGGGCATGGCATCATCGGTGGACAGGCGCCCGGCGTGGAGCTGTCCCTGTCACCACCTGCCGTGTCAGTGGGACCCGCGCAAAGGATAAGAAAGGCCCGGCGACCCTGAAGGACTTTCTCTCTCTCTCGTTCTCCTCTTTTCTCCCGCTATAACCCGTGCTTTCCCTTGGCCTATAAAAGGGAAAGCAGGGCACCCACTAAGGGGCATCAGATAAAAAACCACTAGCATCGAAGCTCGAACACATAGCCGAGCAGCGACCGAGCTCTCGGTACCCATTTGTTCTTTCCACCAGATACTTGGGACCTATCCCCCTCTCGCCTGTTTGTAACCCCTACTATGAACTTTTCAGTGCTAGTAACACGAGCAGCAGCAACAAACTAGACGTAGGGATATTTCGCCCAAACCAGTATAAACCTCGTGTCCTCTTAGCACACCATCCGAGCTAGACGCGCAATATTAGAAATTTACTCGTTGGTGTTTACTCGAAACACCGACAGTTGGCGCTCTAGGTAGGGGGCTTTTGTGCGTCTCGACATCAACACTAGGCCTCGGATGGCTAGTCACGACATCATCTGGGTCCTGGGCGCGCGCGTGCATTTTGGGGACCTAGACTTCATCATCATGACGGAGGGAGAGCTGGCGTGAGCACCCATCGTCATTCAACCTCTCCACTCTGCCGACCTCGACGCGATCGCCGAGGCGCTTGAGGAGCTGCGGCTACACGCACTAGAGGCCTATGCCCCTGGGAGCAGCCAGCTCCTTGGCTTCGACTACGGAAGGCTAGAGTGCTAGCTCGGCGCCTTCTTGGGACCCCGACCATCCCGGGAGGACCTGCACCACCTCACCTTCTCGTTCGCCAACGTCATGGCATAACTCGCCGGGGGAGAGCCCTTCTCCCCAGAATACCTCATCCGGAGTGCCCCAATAGTGCTCCCGTTCGGTTTCCGCAACGCCACAGAGACCGTTGGCCACCTTGTGGCGCCACGCATGCCTCCATCCCCTACGAACGATGAGTTCGTGGGGGTGACCGAATACGTCGCGGAGTCTTTCTACGACCTCCTCGCGGTAGAAACGGAGTCACCCTCGACCTCTGACTCTAGCAGGGGAAGCCATCACCCCTCTCATGAATGTTTCATGGCAGGTACCCTTATGGACATGTCGAAAGCATCCACGAGGAGGAGGCTACCCCAACGAACGACATCGACGACAAGGTCGAGGGAGATGCAGGGGCCCCACCCCGCCTACGGGTGGTGCACCTGAAGGCCCGGCACCGAGAGCTCGAGGAAGCATGACTCCAGCTCGAGTAGTAACGCGTGGAGCTCGATTGAGAGATCGAGCACCGCGGAGACGGTGGGCGCGCATGTGCCATGGCCCGCAACATGAACCGGAGGATCATCGAGGGCGATGAAGCCATCCCACACTTCACCCGGCGA